AAAATCTCTATCGTTGGCCAAATTTATATCGTTTCTATCGTATATCGTTTATATCGCCCACCCCTAAGCCACAGCTTTCCCACATAAAGGTGGTAATCAGCAGTTCCTCCCACGCTGGGACGTCACTAAAAGCTTTTCAGGAGAGTTTTCATGGTGAATGACTGCGTGTGAGGATCACTGGCTCACAGCTAAACTGTCCATGTCTGCAGGTGGAGGAGATGTACTAGGTGAGGCTGAAGGAGACAAAGTGTGTGTGTTTTAGCCACTACACACACAGCAATCATCAGTATACTCAGTTATTAATGCTCAGTGTTGTTAGATGTTGAAAACAGGAGCCACTTTGTTCTGAAATTCTCTGCTGCCATTTGATGTTTTCTCAGATTTAAAACCATGGTTCATTTGTCAGTTAGCTTTGCTGACACGGGGAGAAAGAGACTCATTGTATTCACACTCAGCCTGCATTTCAGCTGCTACAGCCTTTAACCTGAGCTGTGACGCTGTCATTTTAGCCAAAGGATAACCTGGGATCAGAATCCTAGCTCATAAAATCGAATATACTTCCTGCTTCTTGTTAAAGTTTTCATGACATACATTTACACTGACACAACAGATTTCAGTGTAACATTCACATCCAAACACGGTCTCCCTGTGCCTGCCAGTAGCAGCTGGTATTTAGACTGTTTACCTGCTCTCTCAGGTAGCTCAGATCCAAACCCTGCAGCCACACGGCAGACATCACTTCCTTCATGCGTACCTGCAAATTCAGATGGAATAACAGCTTGTTTTTTTATTCAGTTAGAGCCAGCCCTTCACAGAGTTTTATATGCATAAAAAATAAAAGTGTTTATAGTTAGGAAGTTTAGAATTTAATAGGAAAAATCACTCATCAGTATTTTGTTGATACGAAACTAAAGCTGGACAATGAGACTTGCCTCTGGATGCTGCAGGTATCTCTGCAAAAAAAGAGAACACTTCCCAGTGCTACCCACCCTGCGATCATCCGGGTCGTGTGCGAACCACCGCACCACGGCCTCCAGCACATGCTTCTCGTTGCCCACGTTCAGCTTCTCCATGGACAGCACCTCGCAGAGCCGGTCCGGTGGCAGCTCCCTGAACTCCTCAGTCAGCGCCACGTCACGGAAGTGCGTCTGCAGGAACTCTGTGGCGACGTAGTGCACGTGGTAGAGGCAATAGTGCAGAGAGAAGAGGCGGATACCGATGCAGTTCTCTGCGGTGATGCAGCTCTCCAAGAACTGGCAGCACAGAGACTTGAGGTCGGTCATGAGGAGAAGGTCGGATGCCTGCACCATGTCCTGGATGGTCTCTTCTCTCAGGGTGATCTGTGTGTGAGGTACATATGCACAGTCGGTGAAAGCTGCACGCTATTAGGATATCAGCAGGTCACTCTGCTTTTTAATGCATCCCCACTCACTTCACCGCTGAAGATGTAGTCCAGGATTTGTTTCATGATGGCCATAGAGACCCCCTGCAGCTCGATTCTGTAAGTAGACCCATCTTCCTTTGGAGGGTTGTAGTTCAGCTTGGTCCTAACAGGAAGTAAAGCAAGAATCATTTGAGCTATAGCACTGCCACTAAATAAAATTGGACACGCCCTTGTTGTCCCTGGCTGGTGTTTACAAACAGTTCGATCTGTGCTGTGACTGACCTGATGTAGGGGCTGGCAGCAGCCAGGATATTTTTCTGGACAGGAAGCTCCTCTCCGTCCACCACCAGCAGCGCATCGTGGAAACTTTGCTCCTGCCAAAAGGTGCGAAGGACTCTCAGGAGTCTCTGGGAATGTTGTGGATCCGAAACCTTCGAACCGGGCTCATTGGAGGCAGTGTCGGGCATGTCTAGGCTTGCGACAGCCCGAGGACGCACAGCACACTCCTGCCAACATAGTGCCAAACTGAGCTTCTTCAAACAGTACTAATGTTGTCGAACATACGATGACAGTAATGCACAGTTTACGGCACTAAGTAAAAGAAAAGTGGTCCATACTTAAAATCGAGTTTCAAAAGTCTCAACATAAACTCTTCATTGTGAAACTTTTTTTGTTTTTTTAAATAAAGGACTTCTCTGGAGTGGCTAGTCCTCTGCCAGTACAGCGAGTGTAAACGGGCCGGGTTAGCAAAACCCAAACGTAGCTAACATATCATGCTTTCAGTGAATCAATTTAATGCCGAATATTACGGAAACACTCGAGGACCCATGGGACCCAATGATTTACATTTATATATGTTAGCGATCTTGACTGTATCGAGTCTAAACTTGAACTGAAATTCCTAAATGAGGTTTGGCCAGTAAATGCTAGCATAGCACCAAAACAACCGACATGTCGATAAAGATTTCCCTCGATAAAGATTTCCCGTGATAAAGGAAGGACAACGCCGCCATTAACGTTTTTTTTTTTAAAGTAACATCGTTAAATGATTTTAGCAAATTGTTTTTGTAAATGAAAACTGTGGAGCTATGTTTACATGGGGTTCCGACATGGACTGTTTACAGTGCATGCAAAACCTGAGGTGTCATCCTTTCCTTTTACTGATTACAAATTTTAAGTATCTCACCTTAAGACTGGAAAATGCACTTTTCTCTTCTGGGCACAGGGCGTACCTACACTACATGAAACACTCATCCACCCTCTCTGATCACTCAGGACGAAAATTTTGGAAGTAGACGTCAAGGCATGTGTTGTGCTACATTCAAATCTTGGGAAAATGTGGTAAATATGACATCCATCTCGAATATATGTGACGATAATGCAGAACGTACAACAGAGAATATATCTATTTATATTTCAAGCCACTATGTTTTGAAAGCTTTCATAATAAAGAAGAAACCATCTCGGGTGCTTTAAACAGATAAAAAAAAATGTTAACACAGCCGCTTGCATTGTATTTTGGCGACACCACCTGAACGCAGCATCAGGGCGGAACGCGTGCAGTTTAAAATGTGTGCAGCAACAGAACAGATGTGAATAAAACAACCGATATAAATATGTACATTTGGTTTCTAAAGACAAAAAACATGTTACATTTCATTATGTATTTTATTTTAGTTTTCGCAATGTCTTTTATTTTTTCTGACTTCCGTAATGGACGCTGATTGGTCGGTTTAGAATTTACGACCACACCCATTCCCTTATTGTCACATGTTTCCATACAATAACTACGAGTTTGAAGCACAAAAAAACTTCAGTTTGTGTAAAACGGCCAGCTAGTTTTAATGCTCGAAGGCGACTGGAACCAGGAGGGTAATGCTGGAAATTCTTTGCAGCTACTGGATTCATGCCTGAAAGCATAATGGCGGATGTCGTAAAACGTGGCTCATGGTCGAAAAAAAACTGTCCCCGATAGAATGATGTCAGTCAAAGTTTCTATACATATTAAAGGCATACACTCGCTATTTTACCCGAGTATTTGGCTTCGACGGTTTCATATAATTTAATATAACTAATATGACTAATGATTAATATATATATAATTAATCTTCTTGTTATTGTTCGAAATAAAAAATAAAACGATTAACTTTTGCGCTTTTATGTTGAAGGAGCAGCTGTTCTCTGTCGGTTACTTGACTGTCGCCGCGCGCAGAGCGGAAGTGCACAGAGGTTACAACGCTGATCATGTATTTAAGCTAAGCGAGTGTCCAGCTAACGTGGCTAAAATATAAATGGCGACATTGCGAGAGACGAGTGTGTGGACTTCACCGAGTCCCTGCTAAAGTTGTCACTACAGTGAGGATGTGGTGGGAGTGTTCTTCTGACTGAGTCTCGTAACTGTTCTGCAGTACGGTTTAAAACTCCGGACATGCCTCGGCTTCCGCGGAACAGACTGTCTCCATGGATAGAGCGGCTCATCTTAAGCTACGGCAGCCAGGAGGAGGAGCAGGAGGAGGTGGGCAGCAGGTTGAAGGCTCATGTCATCGGTGTGGGTCAGATGTCCCAGTCCCAGGCGGGGAACACCGAGGGCCCCACCGGGTTGCTCTTCCTGTCTGATGGGGTACTCCAGATTCCAGCCGTCCTCACGGCGTCAGCCTGGGAGCATCTGCAGGAGCAGGAGGACCGTGAGTGCTTCAGCAGCCTACTCAACAGCACGGTTTGCATCCAGGACTACCGGCTGCAGTTCCACATGGCCCCAGAACAGACTAAATGCAGGTTCTACTTATCAGTCGGAGAACTAGCTACAACCGCAGCAGGTCCAGTTAAAGACAACACTCCCTGCTGCACCACCCTGTCCTCTGTCAGGATGAAGATCTGCAAAACGTGGAGAGCTCTGCTGGGTCAGGAGGACTCTCAGAAGAGCCAGTGTGAATTTGACCTATCCGAGCTGCTGGGAGAGTGGCGGCACGACTGTCTGCAGGCTGTGCTGGAGGACGTCGGGGAGAAGCTGACAAGGGGACGCGCTGCGAGCCTGCAGCCCTCCACCTCCACCTGTCACTCCACGCAGACCTGCTCTAGCACACGCTGGGATGTGGACAGGATCAGATATAAGGGAGAGAAGTGTTTCAGTGTCCCTGTAAAATATCTCCTTGTCCCAGAAGAAGACTCTCAGCAGGTCCAGACTCTAAAAAATGCTGAAAGCTGCACAGAGAGGATGGAGGAGGAGAATATACCGCAAGTCTGCAACCCTCCAGAGACCACGCAGCCCTCTGTTGATGATGCACACTGGCAGATAGTTCAGCCAGCAGCTGTACAAGGAGTTTGTGCATCCAGTGACAGCTCATCTCTTCCAATGGAGGACAGCCTGCTCCACGAGGATGTGATCACAGGTGGGACTGACGAGCCTTTGTCCAACCCGTGGAACATATTTCCTCCTCCTTGTATCTCCTCATCTTCCTCTGATGCGTCTCCAGAAGCTACACCAAGCATCTCGCCGCACCCCGCCTCTGCTGCAGAATCCAAGCCTGATCCCGCCACCAGCACGCAGCTTCCTGTCCACCTGGTGGAGTCCAGCTACTTCCCACCCTACCAGAAACAGCTGACTGCCCTCCCCACCACTGCCACTTCCTCTTGTTCAGCTTCAGGCTTCGTGATTGCTCCAGAAAAGGAAAAACATCGCACCTGCACAGCACAGCAGAGCCTCCCAGCTGTGGACCAAGAAAGGGAGGAGACAACTTTGACAAGACACGGAAAAGTTAAGAGAAAGCAAAGCGAGTCCACACCAGAAGCCCTCGACACCTCCACCTTGGCGGAGGACAAGGAGGCGGAGCTGAGCGGCAGTCCTCCATCGTGGCTCTTTGACACTCCGGTAGGAGGCTCCAGTGCCGAAGACGGCAGCAGTCCTAAACAGGCTTCAGGGAGCGTCCAGAGAAAAATTCCAAAGGTTCATCGCGACGGCAGGCCGTTCTCTTACTCGTACCGCGTGTGTGGACAGAATCTGCAGGACTTCAGTCGCTTCAGGATGACTGAATCTCTGCTGCACTGGGCTGTGAAGTATCTCGTGACTCCAAAGCAGACAGACAATCCTGCAAACGTAGCGTGAGCTCGTTTACCTCTCGTCTGTCTTCAGTTCTGTTCTGGTTTTGCTTCAGTTTGTCGGTTATGATGGTGTCCTCAGGCCGCTCTGATGGCCATTTCTGTTTGGGATGGTTTGGTTTATCAAACGAAGGTCCACATCAGCTGATGAGGGAATTTGCAGCTGTTCTTTATTTAGCTTTTATGAAGATTTCCTCATTTTCCAAGAACAATTAAAAAAAAAGTGCTGGCGTTTCAGTCGGAGCTTCCTAATTTAATGAGAAACTGATCTGATTTTGTTTTTTTTGAGCATATAAGACATCACCTTGGCTTGTAGGAAGTTAAAACTTAATTAGATTAATTTTTTTCCTGATATTTTGTTTAAAAATTTGCAAACAGAAGAGGTTTGCATTTCACAAAAGCACCGAAAATAATGTTTTGCACACATGGTCGATGTTTGTTTAACAATTTTTGGTGAGCTTTACACAAATAACAATGTTAAATCATCACTAAATACAATTACTGACGGAAATAAAGCCAAACGGCAGTTTTCTTTACACCTGAGCAGGAACGCTGTGCTTACATCGATGCACAAACTCGTCACACACTGTGAAACCATGCTTCTGTTTCATGCTGTGTGACGCTGTCACGGGTTAAAGATGAATATTTTCTCAGCTTCTAGATGCTAAAATGTCCAAATAAAACACGTTTGGAGTGTCTTTTCAATCATTTGCTGTTAAATGTTCTGTAAGTGCAGAGGTTGTGGCTTTGCTCTCTTTTGTGATTTCAGACCTTTCCTGTCTGTGATTAATGGAAATGTCACACGCTGACATTAGTTTGATGTCAGAAGTCTTCAGCAGCTGTTTGATTATCCATGAAAGCAAAAATGTAAAATATTTGATTGTTCCACATTTTGATAAATGAATATTTGTGACAGTTGAGTAAAAATCTGCAGTTTAAACTCTTTTTTTTCCTCCCACAGTTTTCTGTTTTTCAGACAAAATTGATAAAAGAAAAATAAAACTTGGGAGATGAATAAAAAGGGATGTTTGTAGTTTTCTCCATAGAACCGCCTCATGTTTCAGAGCATCGTTGGAGCTGTGCTTTTGTGTTTTTTCATTGTTCAGTGTGGAAATGATTAGAGCAGTATTAACAGTAGAAGCTCAGCAGCTTTATTGTCTCACCTGTAGTAGAATTCTTGGACCAAACCTCAGTCAAAGTCGTCATATTTGTAGAAAACAAAAAACTAGTAAAGCTGCATTAGTAGATATTTTTCTTTCTTTTAAACTTGGCAGCTTTTCAGTATCGATATCCAGGCTCTCATGCAGCCATATTTCATGTTCTTCATCAGTATGAAGGCTCATAAGCCTGAAAATCAGACTCGGTGTTTATTTCTGATCAAATATTCTGATTTCCTGGTTAAAGGTAAAAGTTGTTCTTTATTCGTCCAGGAGGTGTCGCTGAAGACCGTGTTTGTTAAAGTCGAGCTGATGCAGCGGTTCAGTAATGCACACTTCAAAGCAAAAAATGTGAAGTTAACTAATCAAAACCTCACAAAGTGATGCTGGTAGGCAGAGGAGGGAGTTCACATTTCTCTCAGTCGAGACTAAACCTGAGTTGTTGCAGAGCTACGTGAGTATTTACTGTCACTAAAAGAAAAGGCAAAGAAGAAAACAATGTTGCCATTGTTTGGAAGTTTTAGGAACTGAACAGTTTATGATAATAAGGAAATGAGCACAACCAATAAATAAATATCATACACAACTAAGTAAGTAAGCACCACAATTCAGCAGCTTGTCGAACCACCTTTGACAGTAATAAACTGAAGCAATCATTTTTGCACGACCACAGCTCACATCATCGTGGCTTCAGCCATCTGAAGGTCCCACCACAGCATCTCAGTCAGGCTGAGGTCTGGACTCTGGGCCATTACAGGTCGATTCTTCTGGTCTAAGCTTTAGCTGTGGGACAGACGGGCTCACATCAGCCTCCAGAATACTTTGGCATACAGAGGAGTTTGTGGTCGACTCAGTGACATCAAGGTGCCCAAATCATCAGCTCGCCACCACCGTGCTGACAGTCGGTATATGTTTGTGCTAATAAGCTGTGTTTGACTTTCTCCAAACATCGCACTGTGCATGAGGACCAACTCGGCAGGAAACAGTAGAGGTTAGTTTTGTTCATTTTAACAGGTGCCAAATAAATCAGATGATGGGATGTTTCAACAGAGGAAAGGATA